CACACACACACACACACACACATCTCCTCCCAATGAGGGTTGCCATGGTGACCGCAGGGTTTAGTGTTAGTCTGGTGGGGTAGGGGCTTTCTTTTGGCACTGTGTGTGTTTTTACATTACAGTGCCCCCAGGCAAATGTCTTTTAGTAGGTCTGAGGTCAGGGCCTGTGACCTGCCTCCTCAGCACTGATACCTGGGGCGGGGGGGGGGCAGACACGCTCACACTCATTACCGGAATTCCCAGGCTTTGTATTATTACCATTATTCAACCCTCCCCCCTTCCACATTCTCACAAATATCAATATATTGTTATGTTGCCAGGTTGGGTCCAGAGCACTGGAGGTGCAGCCGTGGGCGGACAACAAGCCGTCATTCACAGCAGAGCTCAGTCGTCTCATCACATACATCACCAAGTCACAGGTAGGTTAGAAATAATGTCGCATTAAACGTATACTACTGTTAAATAAAAATGTCTTATCCTCTTAAAGGGTTGAAAATGTGTGAAACATATTAATGCTATTTAAAGGCACCCTATTATCACCAACACAGTTTAGATACTGATCGTTTTTATTCAATGTATATGACACGTTAACTTTGTGAATTGTTCTCTAAACTCCGAAAATAATTACTTTGCAAAGTTTTGAAGGATTTAGGTTTTGCATATATTGAATGGTCCCCATTTTGTTGACTTCTGACTCTTTAAATCAAAGTTATAGTTTGTTTCTTTTTATTTTACCATATCATAATCAGACTGAGACACAGACACGGGTGCTGACCTCTGTCATGGCAGCAACATTCATAGAATCACTTCTTCTTTAGGAAGTTGTCTTCAAAGTAAAAGCACAATATTTTTTTTTTTAATGCAATTCTTTAATTGAATTACAAGATTTTATCTTGAAAAGTTGTGAACTTGAAGATTGTGTCAATACTTAACAGACCTCTGAAATAGCTGATATGCAATGTATGGAAATGTAACAGCAGATCAGTAAATCATTTGAACTTAACTTTGAACAGTAATAAAGGACAATTCAGTTTCAATTTCATACAAAACATTGGCTATAAAATCTCCATTGCAGATACAGTAAACTAGGTTGGATGAACGTTTTCTACCTTCACTCTGCAATTTTGTTCAGCACACAAACATCAAAAAAAGCTGTACTTTGTAGAACTGTTTGAGGACACACTAATGACAGGGAATAATGATAAAGTAGCTCTGCAGCCTTAACACAGGCCAAGAAAACAGACACTGCACTAGTCAAATAATTTTAACTGCCTTGAAGAGGTCAAACGATCCAGTATTTTACCAAAAACACAAAAAAAGAGTAATGAACTTTATTTTGTGGATCAAGCTTTTTTTCTTGTACTTATCTGTCTTTCCAATCATCATATGACCCCACGGGAGGGGGCTGATCCTGATCAGTGGTCTAATATAATGGGCTCTGCTCAAAGGTCTCAGGTTCTACTCTAACTCATAAGGGACCTACATGCTGAAGTCAGGAGTTACAGCTTGCCAAGACGTAACGCTAATCAATAAAACTTCACCTTTTCTACTACTACTTCTTCTGCACTTAGCTTTCTCCCACTTGAGCAACTGCAGACTTGCAGTGTGGGGGTTAACATAGCAGTAATATGATCAGTCAGACACTGTCAATATGCGTGCGGCAGAATTCTGCCAAATCTGGAGCCAGTAAAGCCTTTCAGTTCCAGACTGGAAACTCCCAAACAAGAGTTGAGACTCGTGTCACACCAAGTGCCGAGAAACTGGGAGGGAAAATGATATATCCACTGATAAAACCTAGTATACTGTGTGGATTTAGTGTTGTTCTCTTAATATAGAATACCTGCCATAGAGTAGAATCTACTTAGATGATCATCATCTATTATACCACTGTATATCTGTGTAGCTTTTCTATCTGATACGTCACTTTTTTATCACTACAAAAAGAAAATGAAATATTCAAATCTTTGTCTTAAAAAAAATTCCCTTCAACATGTATGTTTCCTTCCTCATTTCGTGAATATGGCCCCGCCCCTCTTGTCTCACCTGTAACTTGGGAGCCTTTTCCAGTTACTAAGCTCCACCCACAAGTTGACAGGCTTGGTTTCTTAGGATTCAGACATCACAAACTCTGGCTGTTTTAAACTTGTTTTTTTCCAGACTGATATTTGGTTACTGCAGTGTTTAAGTGGAAATGCTCAGGCATGGCATTGACAGCTTGTATTACTCAAAATATGTCTTCTTTTAGGCAAAAGTGAGACACGTCAACATGTTTAAAAACTCAATTTTCACTGAAGGGGGACTTTGAAGGAGCAGTTTTACTTCTTCAGGGCAGACTTTATGTTACAGTGACTCTCTCTCTTACAGACTACCCAGGCCACCATTAGCTGGTTAACATGGCAACTTCAGTAGACGCAAGAAAGGGATAAAAATAGAAAAAAGACAAACATACCACTGCAGGAGACAGCTTTTGGAGGATCAAGTAATTACATTTTATACGAAACTCCATAACCCTTTAAAGTCCCTTGTTAGCATTATTTACTTTCTGAATTGTTCTTGCATATCAAGGACACGCTTTCACACAACTTTCTTCAACTTATTTGACCTCTCTTCCTCTGTCCATCCTCAGCTGAACTGCTCCAGGGTTATATATCCAGGTCAGGCTCAGGCCTCACAGCCCCCTGCGGCCTCACACCACTGGCTGCTGTGTGCTGAGGACTGGCTCCTTCCAGCTGCACACAGACCATGTGTTGCATACTCCTTCAGGTGTGGCCATATGTTTGTACAGTATATGCATGTGTCAGTGCATGTGCAGTGATTATTATGCATTCACATTGCCTGCAAAGCTGGAACAAAAACAATGCAATGCATATTTAATCATGCATAAAATAATCTTCAAACTGCCTCTGTGCTCCCCTGCCTCTCTGTCTATCTTTCTGTGTTTGTCTTTGTCTCTCTAGTATGGATGGAAGAGATGCACACTTTCTGAAGACTGTGTCTGGGCTTGGATGTGAAGCGCACAGGTTTGATCCCAGCAACTCCAATACATCTAATGGTCACCTTAGCAACAGTTTGGCTGGTAACCACAGTGATAGAGGTGTGGTCAGCCAGCACAAGATGTGGTTGGAGTGGCGTGCTCCAAGGAAGCGCAAGCGCAAGGCAAGAGGCAACCTGGGTAGTGTCTCACAAACACTGGCAGACATCATGGCAGCTCTCGGACATCACACTGTAAGACACACACACATGCACATACACAGAAATTAAGTAAGAGTAACAGTGCCAAAAAAACATACCTTAAGAGTCTTTTCACCCCAACATACCCGGGAAGCTCTCTTACTTGTGTGTTCCCATGGCAACAGGGCTCTGCGCCATCCCTGGGTGCCATGGCAACAATTTCAGTGAGTGGCTCACACTGGCCCAGTTACATCCTGCAGCCACCAGAGGGAACTACATATCTATAGTTTGAGAATATGTTGTGACAGAAAAGAGAGTCCTCCCATATTTCTGTTGAGAAACATTTAATGATGATTGGCTATACTGCTATACTACTATTTGGAAATCAATCAGAATGGACAACATGAAAAATTATAATGTATTATTATAAATAGAAATACTGCAATTAACATGAATTATTCTAAATGTGGACAAAATATTTCCAATATTTGCCATAACTATAGCAGTTGCATCATGTTTCCAATCCTGCGGGACAATATTGCATTTTTTTATCTTCTTCAATATATTCTTGTTTCTTTTAAGGTTCACTTTTTGTACGCCGACCTGCTCAGCGCCGAGTGGCGAGTTTTCCAGAACTGGATCGAGACAGGAAGTCTGCAGAGTGTCCATCATCTGGTCGCCACAGTGCATCTGCAATGGGCTGGGTTTGAGGTGGGAGGAACAGATGAGGAGGTGCTCTGCTATTGGTTCAGCATCCTGCAGGGTCTCAGAGCTTCTGGCCTGAAGCTGGTCCACAGCTCTGCAGGAGATGGTCACAGTGTCCTGAAACAGACAGTGGGAAACGCTCACAGCTCTTACACACTCAGCTGGGTCAACATAAGACATTAACACACACACATGAATGGGGACAGGTGAACACATGTACACATGGTGCATGGCCTCAAAAGAGTTTCCTACAATTAACTTTTCCCTCCCTTTCATTTCAGGCTCATACATTTCTTAACATGACATCGCCCTCTCGTGGAGAGGAATGGACGTTTCTTTTTGTCTCCACCCTCAGAGGGAGATACTGTTGTGTCTGTGCATACACTGGCTAATTTGACCAAAAATAGAGTATTGGCTACCTGGCAACAGCATGGTGATAAAATAATTACAGATTCAATTTTGTCTGATGCGCACATTTTCTTGTCATTTTTTTGTAGTTGAACCATAGATATTTTGATGATGTGTTATTTTTATTATTATTCAGTGCAATCCCTTTTACAGTATTTGGCTCCATCAGTGGTTTGAACATAGATGTGTACATCTCCGTAGGCCTTTGAAAGCTTTTATATGTGCAATAACTGTTTACATTGAAAAGAGGCTTTGAATATATTGAGACTGATTGACCCTGCTGTAAAATTTATAGAAATTCTTCAATTAAACTTATGTATTTCTTGCACTGTACTGTACAACAAAGAAGATAATGTGTCATAAATGTGCTTTTATACCACAGAAAAAACCCAAAATAAATCCAGAAAGCCTTTACTCAAACGTGTCTGTCTGTCCTTGGATAACACTGATCATCTCCATTAATAACCTGTTGTGATTCCATAATGAGGTTGGTTATAGCTCTGATTTGTAGTCAATTTTTTAACAATCTTTGATATGTAATTTATTTGAAAAGGAAATAAGTTAAATTAAAATATCAATTTTTTCTCTGGAAACGCATTTTACCTACATGCAAACCAAGCCAATTCATCCTCATATCGTCAGGCCAATGCATTTGACCCATCCCTTCACCTGATTAGAAGACACCTTTAATTTACAAGCACATATATCTTCTTCTCATGTAAGGAAAAAAGGAGATGTTGAAGAAAACCATGGAGTTATCACTATAAGTTGACTCGATAAAGAGATTTATTCTCCTCTCCCAGTCTCTCTCCAGATGAATTCACACAGGCAAATAGCCAAATCAATCTTTGCACATCGTCAATCAATATATTTTTTCTAAATCTTCCAAAACAACATAAGTCAGTTCACAATAAAAGGGAAAGTATAGAAAACTAAATGAAACTCATTTTCAACATCTTAGAAGACTGAGTCGCTTTTCTGCCCCTGAATTAATGCTTCCTTCAGCTTCCACAGTCACAGTTCAAAGTAATAAATTTATATAATAGTTAGTTCTGTCTCACATAGAAGAAGAATACAACGATTAACAGACATATATTACAAGAGAGGGCTCCTTAACAGATGTTAATATGCATAAAATTGTGATTTATGAGTCAAATTATTCATGTGTGTAATTGCAGGTATTGTATGTGCGGTTAATTCATTACAAAATGTGTGTTTTACCATGAAAGTATTTGCAAAAATCAATTAAGTAGCTACAAAAGTGTGTTTAAGGTTTCAAGATTTAGGCGAAAGGGATCTTTTGGCAGAAACTGAATATAAAAATAATCCTAATGATGCTTTCACTAGTGTGTGTTTCATCTAAATTGTACGAATGTTGCTTTCTTTACCTTACAGTGGGCCCTTAATATTTAAATACTTTATATTTACATTAGGAGGAGGTCCTCTCTAGGAGGCTGCCATGTTTTTTTACAGTAGCCCAGACTGGACAAACTAAACACCTTTCGAGCTTTTATTCAGCTGCTACATGACACTTTAATAGTTTTTTTCCCTCCCTACACCTACATTGCAATCATATTACAACATCCAAACAAACAATGACTCATACATGACTGGCCACAGGATCATATAGGTTTTAGGCCTCTTGGATGGTTTACACTTTATGGGATGAAGGCTTGATTGTCCTCTCACAGACCTTTACGTACTTGTAGTTTACCTGACACTTCACATCAGCTCATTCACCGCCTCAGTGATTTCCTCGTGCTCTATGGTCGATGTCAGTCATTCCTCGTACTCGCTACAACTCGCTCGAGCGGACGCTGGAATGCGCCGCGTGCCTCCGCCCTCCGCTACGCAAACTGCGCACAGATGTTCGGCCCCGGCGGACAGGGTGGAGTTGCGCTCTTTACGTTGAGGGCTCCACATCCTGCACTCGACGGGCGCGGCGGCCAATCCGCGTCGAGGAGCTGAGCCTCGCGACCAATCAGAAGTTCGCAATCCCGGGACTTTTCGTGGGCTCTGAGTCGCACCACCGCAGACTGACGCGCTGAACGTTTCCTGAGCAAACCTCGACACAGGAGAAGAAACAGGGTGAATAGAGAAGACTCAGTGTTTCTCTTTGGTCGGTAAGTAACGTGTGATGAGTCGGTGATGTGTCGGTGATATGTCCATAACGTAAAGTGAATTATACTTTGAATAAATCGGTTCCTTCGAGGTTTCAACCGCCGACAAGTTACTTCCTGCTCCGACCAGGCCGAGATCCCAAGTTACATTTAGCCCACAGCTAATGTTGTGGGGGTTAAAGTGTCGCGTTTACGAGTTGTTTTATTCACTTGAGTCACTTCTTTAGAAAGAAGCTAACAGCTAATTAAAAATATCAAACTACTAGTTCGTAAAACCAGGCTACCTCGGGCTTGTCAGTGTGACAGAGCAGAGGACTGTACGTCACATACCTCAAACAGTACGGAGCTGTGTTTGAACTGGACGCGACAATAACAAGCTTTTTATTCACGAAGAAGAACCTGACGAGTACAGTAGTCTCACGTGTTAAATACTCATAACAATGTGGCTCAGCCAGGGAGAGGAACCGAGGTTTGAATCCAGTCTTCGCTATTCTCAGAAGACCCTGCGTCAACACTAAGAACTTATAATTAGGAAACCGAAATGGGGAATAGGAAGCAGCGCAGGGTAATACTTAGAGTTTCAGTGAGCTTCTCTGTGTCTGATCACACTGTGTTGGTCGCAGACTGTCACTGCAGTTCCCTCAGCACCTCAACCCCTTCCATATGTTACCGTAGTTCCTGCTTTTTCCAGGGCTAAAGATCACACACTGTCTGTGATTAGTCCAATCTATACTCTGTTATAAGCAGAATGGTGCTCAACCAAATGTCCCTCCTTATTCTATAAATACTTATTCCAGTTTCGTTCACATGAGCCCTGTGTATTTCAGATGTGCACTGCTGAATGGAGAAAAGCTTTTCAGTTTTGCTTCTGCTTTACCTCTGTCCGGCTCAGTGTTTATGTGCACACACACACATGTCTTCTGTGTCTCTTTGATCACATTTTCAAGACAAAGTGCATCTATACAACATGTTTAAAACAACCATCCTTGTCCAAAGTGCTGAAGAGCCTCAGAATGAATATCAAAGTATATATATAAAAAACTGGATAAATAGAAAATACAAAATATGTTAAACATCATACTAGCAGCGGGTGGAAAGATATATCACATTATTTTTCTAATTTTACATTTACATTTTTACATTTACATTTACATTTTGGAAGTTACTGAACATTACAACCAAACAAATTTCCCCATTTCAAAAAATACTGCCCAACAAGGTAACAAAACATAGTTAGGAAAAAGAATAAAGGACCAATGAGTCCAAACAGATTTTAATCAAACCAATGAAAAACTCAATGTAATGTCCCAAAGCACAAGTATGTTTTTGAATAAACTAAATAGTTCAGACTCATTAGTGTCACAGATGCATGTAATACATCTTCACGTCATGGCCTCAGCAATGGGGTACAGTCACAATCAGTTCTTTTACCTTTGTCTCCATTGACCTTTCTTTTCTTTCCCTTCAGGGTTTGGGCCCCCCCTACCCACCACACCCAGCCATGCCTTTGGTGACGAGGAATATAGAGCCGCGGCATGTGTGTCGCCAGACCATCCCTACGAAAATTCGCAGCGAGCTGGAATGTGTCACCAATATCAGCCTGGCCAACATCATCCGCCAGCTCGGCAGCCTCAGTGAGTGTGTGCCGTGTGTGGTTGGGTGTCACTTAAAATTGCTAAAATATGGTGTGAATGGTTCATAACACATGGACGATGATGTGTGTATTTGCTCTAGTTTTACTCTAATGTACTTGTGAATTATAAGTATGCATCTACTCTGCATGTGTGAGACAAATACATAAATCTGCAAATTTTTAATGCTAGTGTCGATGTGTTGGCAGGTAAGTATGCAGAGGATGTGTTCGGGGAACTGTTTGTCCAGGCTGGGGCATTTGCCATCAGAGTAAATACACTAGGAGAAAGAGTGGATCGTCTGCAGGTCAAAGTCACACAGCTGGACCCCAAAGAGGAGGAGGGTAGGTACTCCCTCATGATACTGCTACTATTACTGTGGTTTGAATAAACTTTAAAATTTAGCGTAATAAATATTCAGTAATATTTGTGTTTCTGTCTGTTTCTGTCAGTCTCTCTTCAGGCCATCACCACCCGCAAGGCGTTCCGTAGCAGCGTGACCCAGGATCAGCAGCTGTTCACCAGACCGTCTCTGCCAATGCCGGTCCAAGACACCTACACGACCTGTGATCCGCCTCCACCGCTCAACTACCTCAGCCACTACCGGTAGGACCCGGCAGACACACAAATACAAACTCAGGGCTCATATTCATTCACTGGAGCAAAACGTGCAAGGAATGGAAAGGAACACGTGAATTCCTTTGTGATCACTTGGAAACACATTCATGATGTATTTTGGTCATGGCTATGCATAATTTACATCCACTTCTCTGATCCTTATGCATTCAAAGCTTATCAAAAAGTAGATATCAAACAAAGGCTTATTTGTTGTGTCTTGCTGAGGCTCAGTCTTCAATTAAAGCTGGAATAATGCAGTATGAAAACATATGTGATGTGAAATATCACTGACATTCACTAACATAGTGCCAGGACACATGTAGACTACCTGGGTAAAATCCTCCAGGTTCATCTATTTGCTGATGCTGTGCAGTTTACTGGCCTGGCTCAAGTTAAACTCTTTGAAAAACATACAGAGATACTTTTTTCTTGTTTGACTGCTATAACGTAAAATGAACAAAAATAAATTGGAACACACAACAATTACTTCTTTCAAATAGCTACCAGCTGAAGTCTTGAATGTGGTTCACATTGCCGTTTTACTTGCTTAAAAATTTGAAAAATTGCTGACACTTGAGCTAGCTCTGACCAACATGAAACTGCTGGAAATCACTTCTTCTTTGCTGCTCTAAAAACAGTACTTGCTAGTGGCAGTAGAGCAGAACTGCTGTTTTCTGTGATCTCTGGAAAAAAAATTGCAGTTTTATTTGGATGGAACTAATAAACTTAAAAAACGTGGTGTCAGTACGTACGTACTCACCAATTTCTAACCTGGATTTTTCAACAGTATCTTAGGCAATTCTGATGCTTTACACTTATATAATATAATATAGTAAACACCTCTATTATCTGTGGTGATGTGGTGAAGCAGGTTTTTAAATTCAATGCAAATGGCACTGGATCATTTGTATTAAATGTAACTCTGGCTCTAATTGTAAGTATATTGAAACAAATATTTTGAATCAAAGCAGCAGTGAAGACATACTGTGGGTAAAACAATAGCTCTCATCAACCAACCTGATGTGTAATCCCCACATATAAATTA